ATCCTCTCTCTTCCCTGCGGCAGGGTTCAGTGATGTACCACCTTAATAAGATGCAGGTTTCCAAAATTTCAGCCTTGGGAGTCCAGAACAGGGATAGAATCTATCTTCTGGAGCCCACATAGGAATCATGGGATTGCCTCCCTGGGACCTATGCCATCTCTGTGTTGATCACAGAAAGGAGAACAAGGAGTGACCCATCTTGGACTCCCACAGAAAGGAGGAGATCATTGTTGTTGTTCAGTCGCTCAGACACGTCCAACTCTCTGCAACCCCATGGACCGCAGTACGCCAGGCTTCCCTGTCCTTCACCATCGCCCGGAGTTTGCTCAAATTCATGTCCGTTGAGTCGGCGATGCCATCCAACCAACTCGTCCTCTCTCATGCCCTACTCCTTTTGCCTGATGCCTTTCCTAGCATCAGGGTCTTTTCCAATGAGTAGGCTCTTTGCACGAGGAGGCAAAAGTATTGGAGCTTCAGCTTCAGCATCAGTCCTTCCAGTGAATATTCAGGGTTGATTTCCTTTAGGATTGACTGGTTTGATCTCTTGGCAGTATGAGAGATGCTCTAGAATCTTCTGCATCACCACAATTCAAAAGCATCAATTCTTTGGTGCTCAGCCTTCTTTATGGTTCAACTCTCAGATAACAGGAAAAACCATAGCTTTAACTATACAGGCCTTTGTTGGCAAAATGATGTCTCTGCTTTTTAATAAGCTGTCCAGGTTTGCCATAGCTTTTCATATACTTCTCATAGGAAGGAGGCCCTCTTTCCGGGAAAAGATTGGAGGGATGGTGAGCAGAGGAAAGCACAAGCTGTCCACAGTAGACTGCCAGTAGACACATTATCTTGTCAACAAATGCATGTCCAATTAAAGGACAGTTCAGTTTTCTCACTTGCTACCAAGTAAATTTTAATAGTGACAACTATTCCAGCTGAAAACTAGGTTCTCTTCTCCCGGGGTATTAATATGCAAAGACAGCGTCCGATGATACAGGCTGTTCTTGAGTTCATTTTGTTAGATGGAGGCAGTGGAAGATAAGATTTGACTTAAAAAGCATCAAGGCTGCTGAAGTAGTTTTGATATTTTCCTTCAGAACTGATAAGTACAATTTAAGACATTCTACCAGAGGCCTCAGGGACAATTTTGCTGATTAGTTCATATTGCTATCCAAATGGGAAACCATTATCACAGTTACTACTGCATAAAGTGCATGATAAAATAAGAATTCCAGAATGCCATATTATTATGTGACACACAGATACATGCACACATACAAGTGAACAGAAGATATTCTAGATCCACTAATATGTCTCTCTGTTTTTATTTGTTTTGGGAGCTCAGACAAGAGCAAAGTGATCAAAGAGCCCTGGCCTGGCATTGACATGTAAATGAGCCAGCGACAGAACTGGGTTGACTTCATCCCTGATCCATATGTCAATACCTGACTATACTGTAATTGATGTACAGAGAAGGCACAAGTCTTATCAACCCTGAACACACATTAAAAATTTACTCCCTGAAACAGGCATGCCCAAATCCAACTTAGCAATATAGGCTAATAATGTACTTCACAAGTTTATTCACATGCAAAGTATATTTTGAAGTTATGTGTCTTTCCTTAAAAAAAGAAATCACTCCCTTAAAGACATCTTCGGGGTCCAGAGCCTCTGATTTCTGCACTCAAGGGTCCAGCTGTGTGTCAGGGAGCAGAATCCATCAAGCCAATGTGCATACCTGCAGACCAGGTTCCCCTGCAGCCTGTTCCTTCCCAGACACTCAAACATCGCTGTTTATGTGCTGCTCAGATGACTGACATGTGAGGATCTGTGTTTCATGGCTTATACATTAGCCCTGTTATGATGACAAATTCTGTTCCATGATGGCAGTAAGGCTGTGCCCATCACAACTCCTGTCACTTCATAAAGGTCTGTCCCAAGAAGGCATGGACCATTTTTCTTCCCAGGGCTAAGCCTTGGGCAGGCAGAGCAGCCCCTAAGTTCTCTGTTAAATGCCTACAGGTTCGTGGCCTCTGCCCATCAAGGGTGCCTGCCTTTCCTATTTCTCCATCACCTCCCCCAAAGGCAGGATCTAACAGAACCCAGTGGCTTCAGACTTCCTGTTGAAAAGATACAAAGCCTATTTCATCAGAGTCAGTTTTCAAACATCTATTCAAATTGGTGGTCCAAGGGTTAAGAATCTCCCGTGCAATACAAGGGTGTTTTCCCTGGTCGGGGAAACACCTGCATTATTAATAGACTTTTTCTTACTGACTGATAATAGTGGTATTTGCAGTCTGGCTATAATCACTCGTGTTCACATATCCTCTAATGTGTAAATCACCAGCTTTAGTGCTGGACACCTCCAACCCCACCCCAGGGAAAGAAAAGGTTCCCAGAAAAATGGAAACAGGGAGTAGATTGTGGTCCCTACCTGCCCAACCTCAATTTTCCTTTCTTTTAAAAGAGATGATGTGGTAATAAGAATCTTAATGTGAGGGCTTCCCTGGAGGCTCAGTGGTAAAGAATCTGCAGAATCATTCATCTGGGAAGATCCAACATGCTGTGGAGCAATGAAGCCCGATCACCACCACTCCTGAGCCTGCGCTCTAGAGCCCCAGAATCTCAACTCCCGAGCCTGTGCTCTAGGGCCCCAGGGGGGGTTCCCAACTCCCGAGCCTGCGCTCTAGGGCCTGTGCTCCACACCAAGAGAAGTCATCAATACGAGAAGCCGGCACACCACAGTTAGAGAGTAGCCCCTGCTCCCTGCAATTAGAGAAAAGTCTGCACAGCAAAGAAGACCCATCACAGCTTAAAATAAATAAAGACAATTTTTTCTTAAGAATACTAATGTAATCATAATAAGATCTTCCTCCCAAGTTCGCAGCGAGGGATAAATGAGTTCTTACATGTGTGATGCTGAGCACAGTTTGCTTGTTATAAAGGCTGAGACTTTGGCTACTCCAGTATTATTCTTACTATTCCTACTTTCACTCTTGTTATAAGAAGAAAGGGATTAAATGGAGAAGGGTGGAAAACTGGGTTTGAATTGCAACTCGGAGATCTCCTCAGCCATTTAATCACAGAAACTGAAAGATCACCTCCAGTCGTCTTTTCCCATAGCAAGTGGAGACAACGATGAACTCATTCTCTAAGCATCAGGATTGCATGCTTACGTGTGCTCAGTCGTGTCTGACTCTTTGTGACCCCATGAACTGTAGCCCACGAGGCTCCTCTGTCCATAGGATTTTCCAGACAAGAAGACTAGAGTGGGTTGCCATTTCCTACTCCGTGGGATCTTTCCGACACTGGGATCGAAACCTCAGCTCTTGCAGCTCCTGCATTTGCCAGGCAGGTTCTTTACCACTAGCGCCACCAGGGAAGCCCAAGCATCTGGAAGCCAGGGTCCCAACCCAAGGCAGCTGGACCCCATAACCCCTGCTGCTTCACACCCATAAAACCCGAGTGTTTGTGAATCTAGTCTTCAAGGCCACCCTGGAATTTAGAAGACACGCAGATGACAAGACCATGTGGCAACACCTCTGAGTGATGGATTATGGAGTCCTGGGGTCCTAGATTTTCACACGCAAAACAGCTAAGGGTGAATGTGGATTTGTATCCGTTCATATCTCCTCCCAGGGAGCTGACACCACTCCCAGAAAAATCCTCCTAAACAGTGCCTGGCCCAGCATCTGCAGATCTGCCATCTACCTAGACAAACCTTCCTGTAGCAGGAAACGCAGGGCCAGGCAAGACATGACTCAGAGCTCCAATTAAAAGAGGAAATTTGCATTAGGCGCTCTAACTGCCTGTTCCAATTGGGACCAGCAGCTCTCTTCTCCTTCCTTCCTAAGAAGAAAGGAGCCTCAGAGGTGTGGGCCTGATTTTTTTTTTGGGAGGGGGGGTGTCCACATTCAAACTGCTTACCGGTGGGGGAGGATGAGAGACCTGGCGAGATTGGGCAGTGCCCACGTGGCAAAGACAGGCGGCTGTGCCCGTGGGCTCAGGCTGCCTCTTGAGCTCTTCTCCAGCCGTTCTCCATGAGCCCCTGGCAGCCCCTCTCAGCTGTGACCTCTCTAAGCTGTCAGTCTCAGATTAACCTATACTTCATCAATTTTGCCTGAACTGCATTTGCAGCCAGTTCTCAGGAGGATGGCCAAGTGCATCAAGTACCATGCATTAGCCCCTCCAGGGCCAGATTTCCTTTGGGACGGAGTGGGGCACTCCCCGGTATTCTTGCGGAGGCCTGGGCGACAAGCCCAGGGAGGGCTTTGCCCGGAGGGGAGGGACAGGAACCTCTGCTGATTCCTTGTGAATTTTTCATGAGGACATCTGCCGAAGCTCTGCTCCTCTGCGGCTGCACCCCCCCACCCGCAACCCCCTCTGCGTTCAGACCTCCTGACAAGGTATGAAAAACGACTGTGCTCCGTACCCTTCTAAACCCCCTCCACCCGCAGCCAGGAAGTGGCTGGGGGAGCCTGGGATTTCAGTCTCTCTGGAGCGGCCCAGGCTGCTGGAAAGAGGTCTTTGAAACAAAAGATCAATGGGCGATGGATGATTCTAAGGTGAGTTGACAGGTCAAGGCCACTGTTCCTCAGTGGGTAGGTGGCCTCGGGGCACAGGGGGTCCTATGGACCCCACCGATCTTGGCCTGGGGAATTGGGGTCCTTGCTGCCACCCTCCTTGCACTTCTTGGGGCGCCCTCCAGGGATGGGGTGGACTGGAGACTCCCTGAGCACCGTGTTCCTATCTCCCAGATCACACCAGGAAGAACTGAAGTGTAGGGAGGAGGGGGGAGGGAAGTGCTTCCTTATTTTAGTCATAAAAGGCATCTAACCATTGTTTTTGGAAGTAACCAGCAGTTCCAAGCTTCTAAATTCTCTCTGTCCAGACCCTTCAAGTCAGGAAGCCAGCAGCTCTTTCTCATTAACGCATCAAATCACGCCGATGTCCTTTCTGGGCTCCCTTTGAAGTGGCATGTGCTTCAATTTATTTTTAATCTCTTAAGTGATGTCGTCAGGGCCGCCGCCCCGGTGACATGTGAAGTCGGTTCTCACGGGCTGCGGAGCTGGGCAGGCGGTTTGGACCCGCAGCTGGACCCGTGTGAGCCACCGCGGCCACGGTCGGAAATCGACCTCCAGCACCGAGGGCGGCGGGACGGGGACGCTGGGAAGAGGAGATTGATGCAAAGCCCGCGCACGCCTTAGAAAGGCCACCTTTTGTGAGGGGCGGCGCTGGGCAGGCCTCCGGGGGGCGGGCGGCCCCTCCGTGGAACGACAGTGCCCCCCAGCGCCCACCCCTCGCCACTCCCGCCCTTCGCTCCGGTCCCGCCAACTGGGAGCCGACTGAGAGATAAGGGGTTGTGGGAACTGCGCCCCCAAGCATCGCATCTTTAAATAGTTACCCACATGAAAGAAGGCCTGGGAGAGGTCCAAAGCTAACTTGATGGGAAAATCTGAGAATGCTCATAAAAGGCAGTGAGCAAAGAACTGAGGTTTTTTTTTTTTAATTAATTTAATTGGAGGCTAATTACTTTACAATATTGTGATGGGTTTTGCCATACATTGACATGAATCAGCCCTGGGTATCCATGTGTCCCCCATCCTGAACTCCCCCCACACACACACAGTTCCCTCCCCATCCCATCCCTCTGAGTTGTCCAAGTGTACTGGCTTTGAGTGCCGTTTCATGCATTGAACTTGGACTGGTGATCTATTTCACATATGGTAATATACGTGTTTCAATGCTATTCTGTCAAATCATCCCACCCTCACCTTCTCCCACAGAGTCCAAAAGTCTGTACTTGACATCTGTGTCTCTTTTGCTGTCTCACATAGGGTCATTGTTACAATCTTTCTAAATTCCATATATATGTGTTAATATACTGTATTGGTGTATTTCTGACTTACTTCGCTTTGTGTAATAGGCTCCAGTTTCATCCACCTCATTAGAACTGATTCAAATGCATTCTTTTTTAATAGCTGAGTAATATTCCATTGTGCATATATACCACCGCTTTCTTATCCATTCGTCTGCTGATGGACATCTAGGTTGCTTCCATGTCCTAGCTATTGTAAACAGTGCTGCAATGAACACTGGGATACATGTATCTCTTTCAATTCTGGTTTCCTTGGTGTATATATCCAGCAGTGGGGTTGCAGTTGTTTTGCTTTGTTTTGCATTTTTTCCCTCTGAGTAGCTATCCTGGTGATTACACATCCCACCAGAAGATTAAATACATTTACTTAGTTGCTTAATTAATTTGTGGATATCTAGCATGATCCAATCTAGGGCTTCCCTGGTGACTCAGCTGGCAAAGAATCCACCTGCAATGTGGGAGACCTGGATTTGATCCCTGGGTTGGGAAGATCCACTGGAGAAGGGAAGGGCTACCCACTCCAGTATTCCGGCCTGGAGAATTCCATGGACTGTATAGCCCATGGGGTCACAAAGAGTTGGACATGACTGAACCACTTTCACTTTCAGCATGATCCGATTCAAAGATCTAAACAATGGAAGCTTCACCGGATGGAGGTGGGGGGACCTCCTTCACCCCAAAGCAGGAAATGCAGACAGAAATGTCAGCGAACTGGGAGTTGGGCAGATGGAGATGCAGTTCCTGCCCTGATGTGGATGGTACATGTTGATGACTTTCAGTTTGTTCCTTTCCCATTGGTGTCTTGGTTTTTTCATCTGTGAGATGAAATGGTTCAAGAAATCTAAATGATACCTTCAGTACAAATGGGAGTTATCATTATGATGAAGCTTCCTTTTTTGTTGGGGGGTTTTAATCATTGCCATTATTTTTTTTCATATTTATTTACTTGGCTGTGTTGGGTCTTCATCGTGTCATGTGCATCTTTCCTTTAGGTGAGCAGATCCTTTAATTGTTACCTACAGGCTTAGTTGCCCTGCGGCATGTGGGATCCTGGTTCCCCGACCAAGGATCGAACCTGCATCCCTTGCATTGCAAGGCAGATTCCTAACCACTGGCCACCAGGGAGGTCTGCAAGGTTCCTTTGGAGTTCCTGCCATGTTCCTGACATCCTTTCTCCTGCTCTGCCTCTCCTCCCATCTCATCCTTTCTCCTCTTCACCTGAAGTCTCCCCTCCATCCTGCCCTCCTGCCAGGAAGTCCTTTCTAGCTCATCCCACGAGTGTTTATGATTCAGTTCATTTCTGACCATCTATGTCCTTGGGTCATGTCTCCTCTAACATTCTCTTTGTTTTCCATCTCTTAGCTCCTCAACCACACCATGGATGCTTAAAAATCCTTATTGGTGGACAGATTGGTTCTCAAGTTAGAAGTGCCTGAATTTTGAGGAAGAAAGCACACTGACAAAATCTTTAGATCCAGAATCTAACTCCATGGCTGGTTTTATCTCTTTGTATCAATGAGCAATCACAACTTCTGAGCATGTTTTTCCATCTACAGAAGAAAAGGTTGCATTGGAAAAAAAAATTATAGTATTATTTTTTGGAAGTTTTCAACTAATTGGTGATAGTGGTTTAGTCGCTAAGTTGTGTCCAACTCTTCTGAGACTCCACGGACTGTAACCCGCCAGGCTCCTTTGTCCATGGGATTTCCCAGGCAAGAATACAGGAGTAGGTTGTCATTTCTATCTCCAGGGGATCTTCCCAACCCAGGGGTCCAACCTGGGTGTCCTGCATTGCAGGCAGATTATTTACCAACTGAGCCACCAGAAAAGCCCTTTCAACTAATTACTTACTGATAATTATTTACCCAGGCTGAGTTGTTTCAGGACTTAATGATTGCCAGGAATTGCTAGAATAAATCATGTAAAGTTGCAATTTTAATGGGCTGAAACCATCAAACATGGGAAATTTTATAAGATGTACGTAAAATGACTTCTCCCAGAGAGTTACATCACACTGCATTTCTACACCCTGTCAGGCACTTCAGTACCAAGGCAATTGAATAAACAGCCTTCCATAGTCTAATTTCTTGGATTATCAGGGTCTCTGAGGATTGAACAACATCATCTTAGTATTTGCCAGGCACATGAAACCATTTTAATTTTAAAATGCATTGAGAATAGAAAGGTAACATTGTTAGGCAAAGTTTTAACAAATGCTGGAGGTCAGAATTCGAGGCAGTGCAAATTTAATCTTCTTCTCTAAGTACACACCTCAAAGGTTTCTTGAAAGCATCTGGCGGACAGCTAACACTTCCTGATTATTTCATAGGGGTGTGTATGTTCAGAAAATCAGATTCCTTAGTGGTGAGTATGTCTTGTGTCCTTCAGTGTTCTTCCCTCTTCACTAGCTCATTTTCCCCTCAGTCTCCTGCTGTGTGCGAGCTCTCATTCTTTGTGACGACATGGACTGTAGCCTACAAAGCTCCTCTGTCCATGGGATTCCCCAGGCAAGAATACTGGAATGGGTTGCCATGCCCTCCTCCAGGGGATCTTCCCAACCCAAAATCGAACCAGCATCTCTTATGTCTCCTGCATTGACAAGCAGGTTCTTCACCACTAGCACCACCTGTAGCCCCTCTTATCTAGAGCAGCATTGTGCAATTTTGTTTTCTCTGATCATGCATCTGTGGGGTTGGCAAAAAAGTTCATTCAGGTTTTTCCACAATTTGTAATGAAAAATCCAAATAATCTTTTTGGTCAACCCAATATTTAATAAATCAATTTGAGAAACTAAAAAACATTGTGTATATTTATGTACTCATTCATTATATTCACATACTTCTAAGAAGATGTGTGTAGTACAGGGTGCGATAAGAGAAAATGAATAATATTTTGGGTTAATTTTAAATTTTCATTTAAAAATAAATGGAAAATTTTGTACCACCATGAGAATTGCTTTATTAATAATATTTTAGAGAAAAAAATATGATTAAACAGGATTTTTTATGTTGGTTTGATACTTTATAATACACTAAAGCTCTACATTCAATTTAGCTTTTATATTAAATTATTGTCATAGTTAAAAATGTATTTTACAGAAGTACATAAATCCAAATAGAAATGAAACATGAGCTGTGCTTTCTAAAGATGGGTACCACGTTTCAATTCCATTCACCAACTATATGGAGATTTGTAGCTGTCCTTAGAATCCAGATACTAAATTTCCACTTTCCTGAATGTCAGTCAGTTATTCTTTCAAGCTTACATTTTGTTATTTTTACATTTTTATCCAAGGGGTTGAAAGCAATATACCTCATTTTAGAAAATATTTTAATGTATTTTTGTTAAGTTTTTATAGTGTATATATTTAGGAGTTTTTTTGTCATTGTTAGCATATAATATTTTGATAACAAAAAGTCACATGAAGGTAGCATCACTTCCAAATATCTAGTTCCAAGTCCCTCTCTCTCTGTAGCCTAAATTTCCCTCATAAAGTAGTTATTTTCTCATCACTGTTTAAAAATTACCTATGGGTTGAAGTAAATATTTAAGATAACTCATTTAATTATTTATTTTCAATTTATTCATTAAAAGTATCTGGTTGGTAGCAATGATGACAACTAATTCTTATCACATACTCCTTCAAAGCATAACTTTTGAACAAATAATTTTCATAACTCTGTTTCATGTTTGACACCTCTTAAGAACTCTGCAATGTAAGAAACATTAAACATATGTGGACTAAAGATTTTTATATTTACCTCCCATATCTTCAGGACTCCCTGGTGGTTCAGATGTAAAGAATCTGCCTGCCAAAATTAAGAGCTTTTCATAATGATGTTCAGGTTAACCCCGAACGAAAAAATCTAAAATGGATTGGTCTCGACTTGGTCAATGGTAAACCCCGTGACAACAAACAAGCAGGGATGTTTGAACCAACCATAGTTAAAGTTAAGAGCTTGAAATTTGCAACTGAAGCTGCAATTACCATTCTTCAAATTGATGATCTTATTAAATTACACCCAGAAAGCAAAGATGATAAGCATGGAGGTTATGAAGATGCTGTTCACTCTGGAGCCCTTGATGACTGATCTGTTTTATTTATATAACAATGTTAAATGCAGCTTGCTTGTACCTCGAATATTATACGTTAAAGTGCAACAGACTGCAAAAAAAAAAAAAGAATCTGCCTGCAATGCAGGAGACCTGGGTTCAATTCCTGGGTCTGGAAGATTCCCTGGAGAAGGAAATGGCTACCTGCTCCAGTGTTCTGGCCTGGAGAATCCCATGGACAGAGGAGCCTGGCAGACTATAGGGTCGCAGAGAGTCAGACATGACTGAGCAACTGAGCACACAGCAACACAAGTTTCCATATCTTTAAAAAGTGTTGCAACATTTTAAAGGACCCCTTACTAGGAGTAAGGATGAGAGGGGTTGGTGGGAGCCAGCAGAGCATCCCTGGTTACCCTTACATCATTTTTTCCCATGAACTATCATTTTATTAATGGAATC